TCAGAAATTGCTCTTAACTTCAGTTGGCAATAGGTGGTCTAATATAACTACTCTCAATATTTATTTCCATCAATAACAGTATAAAATTCAAAAAAGACACATCATAATGAATAAGTGAACAAGATGGAGGAGGTTCGTACAAAGAAAAAGTAAATGCCTATAACCACATTTACAGAAAAAATGTAGATAGTAAAAGACAAACCTTCACCCACCCACAGAGAAGCATGAAATCAATGAGGTTGTCAAAAATGCAAAATAGTAAGAATACGGTATATGAAAATATAGAAGCAAAGAATTGTTATTTTGTTTTATTATACAAATATAAAAATTAATTCTAATGAAAGAATGAAAACACCACCATTAAATTAAAAACGTTCTTGCAATGACTAGTTTCCTTCATAGCCAACAACCACTAAATCAATCATCGTTACAATAATCAAATCACTATCATAAGCAGGTATAAAAAAAACCATTATCCTCCTAACCACTATCAACAAAAGCATCATAATAATAACCATCTTCATCCTCGTCGTCATCATCCTTCATCACAATATTTGAGAGCTTCTCTGGACGTCGCATATTTTACCAATTGATCATGAAACGCTGGGTACACTGTCGAGCGATGCACCTAATTGCCGATCGTAACATTAAATAGTTAACAAGAAGACGTACTTGTAACAAATCTGATGAATTTATACAAGAAAAAAAGACATATAATTTTGAAAATAATACTATTTACCGCTTTTTAGTATTCACCACTTTATGGGCCTATTCCTGACTTTGTATCGCTATGATGATGGTAGCTTCAATATACTCTGTACAACGAATGCAATACCTTCTACTCATTTAACCGATTACTTATATCAGTATTCTACATCATGTTTCGCAGAATTTTACTTTCAATCTCATTCTCGATAATTATTTTTGTATAATTCAACAGCAAAACCAACGTGAATATTACTCCTTTATGGTTGTTTCGTTTTAATACGTAGATGTTTTATACTTATAAAGTATAACATCCTTCGGGTAAAAAAAAAATATAAATAAATAAAACCTCAAGCCCACCATGGTTGGGGCTGAGGTTCGAACATTTTAAGAATATTGACCTATATGTGCCCGGAAATTTCACTATCATACCTTAAAAATCTTACCTGTACTATGTTCATCAAAAATACAATACAACAATTTCTTTTTCTTACAATTTAGGGGGTGCGCAACGTCAGCACCAACTGCATCCGCCCCAGTCTATTATGTGGGTGGAGCTGGCCCCAATCCAATCATCATTGACTCTGCATACTATACAGCCAACTCATTCTTAAACTGTGACCAGTTTTAAAGATGAGCATAGAGCTGGTCCACAATCACGTCCCTCGACTCCGCCTACTACAGCGTAAGTCATTCTTGCATTTGATGTTATTAATGTTATCCTAATTCGCAAACTTGAACATTTTTTAATCAGAGGTGTATACACTCTACTGGTTCAAAAATTATCTTCTAAATAGGAAACAATTTGTTTCAATTGGTTCATGGAAGTCATCGACGAGGGATATTACCTGTGGCCGAGCGAATTTTCATTCGCGAGTCGAATAGTCGAGCGGTTACCAGGGGCGCCACTACCTACAACCATACATGGTTTGAACGGCACGCTCGCCTATGATTCTGATGGTAGACCAAGTCTTCTCGGATAAGGACAATACACCGTAGGCCCATGTAAAAACCCAGTACATCATTCGACAGGAGTAAGGGGATACCCCGGTGTAGTGGTACAGATGGCCCCTGCTGTGGACGACGAGAGTTGCACCGGGCTACCAGGGTAGCAAGACACGAAGAGGGAAACTTGGGGAGAAGAAAGTCATATCCAAGCATTGGCAAACAGCACTATATAAATTTCTATACTGTATTTAAATTTAGGGACCACAAGGTTCAGTATTGTTACTATTCCTAATTTATGTTAATGACTTAAAAATGTTAGCAAGACACTGCAGGTCATACCTTTAGACGATAATACTACTCTTTTTTATTCAAATCAAAATATGGATGTATTATGTAAAAATAATACTTTAACTTTTTAACTCTCTTTTGCAACAGAGGCACATTCGCTAAAGAGATGTGCAAAAGAATTTACAATAAAAGTTAAATTATGTACATATGTTTTGCAATAGACGCTTCTTAATACACTGTACAATTAATGATTTATCAGTATTTTTGTATTTTTTACTTAACTAATAATGAAAAGAAAATATAATGCACATTCAAAGAAATGAAACACACGAAACACCGAAAGAAAAACTTAAATGAAATAAATTATGACATATAATAAAAGAGATAGGATTAGTAATCATTCATACTACTAGGCCTGTTTTAACCATTATATAAAATATCGAGAAACTGTAATAATAATAGTGAAGTGTGCATATACACCGTATACATCTCAATAAATAAATCATATACAATATATATATAAAGGTTCCATCGATCCCAAAATTGGACCCCATCTCATCCAGGTCGATCCGGCACCAGGACGTTTCTATGTCCTACCCAAAATCCACAAAGCAGGCCATCCTGGCAGACCCATTATTTCGGGCAACGGTACTGCTACAGAAAAAAATCTCTGAATATGTGGATGATTTATTGAGACCATATGTTGTTGCTCTTCCCTCGTACATTCAGGACTCCACGGACTTTATCCGCAAAAATTAACCAATTTACCTAATAATACTGTTCTGGCTACACTTGATGTTTCGTCATTATATACTAATATCCCTCATGAAGAAGGTGTTAATGCGTGCATTTCAAATTACAAGCAAATTCGGGGCAAAACCCCATCTAAATCACATCTCCATGAACTTATTATGCTGATTCTGACCAATAATAACTTTGTTTTCGGCGACGGTCATTACCTTCAATTTCATGGCACAGCAATGGGCACCAAAATTGCTCCATCTTTTGCTAACTTATTTATGGGGCAATTTGAGGCCAATTTCCTGTCCCTGCAGCCCAAAAAAAACAGATGTTTGGTTTCGTTACATTGATGATATCTTCATGATCTGGACCCATGGTGAAGATAGTTTGGATACGTTCCTATTGAACATTAATTCGGCTCATCCCACAATCAAATTCACTGCTAACAAATCCACAAGCAGTGTAGATTTTTTGGACATCACCGTGACCATGGAAAATGATGCACTTAAAACTGATCTCTTCCGTAAACCCACGGATAAGCATATGTACCTACTCTCCAGCAGCTGTCACCCCCGCACTGTACAAAAACATTCCGTACAGCCAAGCATTGCGCATGAGACGCATTTGTTCTTTAGATTTTAGATTTTCAGAATCGAACAGAAGAACTATCCGGACATCTCCGGAATAGAAATTATTATCGAGGACCCATTGAAAATGCTATAAAAAAGCAAAGGACATACCTCGTGCTCAAACACTGACGTACAAACCACGTCAACGATCAACCAAAGTGCCACTGGTCACTACCTATCACCCTAGGTTACACCACTAAGGGCTATAATTCAGAAACATATGCCCATTCTACAGACCACAAAACGTCTTAGGTCTGTTTTTTCGGATACACCGTTCATAGCCTATCGCAGACCACCCAACCTTCGTGATATATTAGTACGATCTAAATTCAAGAGGCAAACTAACTCTTGCGACAACCGTAATTTGGGTAGGAGACAGATATATATATATATATATATGAATTTCTTTTTTCATCTTTTTTCTTTTCTTTTCATTTTCTTTCATTTTATAACAAATTCATTTATGAAAAAGTATTATAGATTTTGTTACGTTCTTCCCATGCTGTAGTTAAACATAATTTTAAATATTTTCTTAAAATTGTTCGTGCCATTTCAGAATTAAAATGAGTTAAAATTGTGTTTGTTATAATTTGGTGTTCATAATGAATTTCATGATCATCTAGAAAAAGTGATAGGGCCTACTGAAGTTCAGGGGAACCCGAAATGTAATACTATTAACAGTGAATTATTCAAATATGGTGACGTGTTCGCTTCAAATAAACATTGTATAATCACTCAAAAATCTAATCATATTATTTTTCATTCTAATAATAAAAAAATTAATTCTAATAATTATCAATTTTTTTCTTAATAACAAAATTACTGAGTGTAAAACAGAAACCATATTTCTCAGCGTCTACATCGAAGACAATTTGAAGTGGAGCAAACTCCAGAACTATGTTTCTAAGAAAATATCTAAAACTATTGGTATCATTAATAGGCTTGAGTTTATTTTTCTATAACATATTCTACTTTCCTTTATAATACCCTTATTTTACCACATTTAAAATATTGCAATATTGTTCGGGCTTCTGACTATCATTCTAATTTGAATATACTTATTAAGTTACAGAAATGTGCAGCCAGAATTATTATACCTTCATCCTACCGAACTCTATCTGAACCTTTATTCAAACGACTAAAAATGTTAAATTTATTTGATATAAATAAGGTCCAAGTGGCAAAGTTTATGTTTCAGTATTTAAAAGAAAACACATCCTCTTCCTATGTTAAAATGGTTAGATACACCTCGGAAAACTCATACATATAATTTCAGAGGTGCTTATGTTCCAACTCCAGTCGTCAGACTCAGAAAAGTCATTTATTTTGTTTCTGTTGCTGGTCCTATTTATAGAATGATCTTGATGTTTGAATTAAAACTTCAGTTTCTTTACCTGTGAAAGTTAAAAAATAGAATATTTATCATCGTACATCTGTGATCAATTACTCTCCTTTCCCTTCCACCTATTTGTTTTCTCTTTTCATGGGGTCTTGATAAGACAAGTCCTACTTTTAATAGTTAACCCAATACCTATAATTTTCTTTTTATTTTACATCTTTCCCATTTTCATTTTTGTATTGTATATTATTACTGTATTGTTTACCATCATTGAATAAATGCCATTTGAATTGAATTGAAAACAGTGTTACTTAGTTGCAACGATGAATACAAAGAAATGACTAACTTGTATATAATGTATTGGCACTAGCTTTCGTCCACACATTGTACTTCTTCAGGAGATTTAGTTTCAACGGTGAGCACGGCAGATCCTTTGAAAAATTTGTCTTTAAATGTCCTCTTAACTTTACAGACGTACTTGCCAGCATCCCCTTTGACAACACTGTGTATATACAAAATGCACCTTCCGCCTTCTTCAATGCAGGTAGTATACTTGCTGTCAGGGCGCGCAATGTCGTTTGTCGACGCCAACACACTGCCGTTGAATTTGCCGTGTTCATTATAACGATACCACATAACACCTATTATGTCTTCACCTGGTGGTAGAATCCTACATTCGAGAAACGTGCTTTCATCGCCGATAAAGGCTTTTTGGTTGTAAACACGGACGGTTAGGTTACCTGTAATATACAACGTAATGTTCTGTAGCATTTGTATCAAGTATGGTGTACAAACATTATTTATATTCCATTGTGACCAAGTTATTGAACTAGACAAAGGACAATGATCAAAAGTACTACCTGTTGTCACAACAAGACCACCAAGTTTAATTTAACTATAATATGCCTAAATACATATATACCACATGGAACAATGAATAATAATGGATAATTAATTAATATTAATAATATTTTAATAATTATTTTAATAAAACTAAGTAATGATTTTAATAATTGTAAATATTGTAATTTTTAACTGTATAATAGCTGCAAATAATTTGATAATCATCTTTATAGACTTTTATTCTAGTTGATTCATATGTCTCATTCATATTATTTTGACGTTCACATGTACGTTATGATTGCAAAAATTTAAAGTATTTATATTAATTTATGTCTTTTTTTTCTTATGCATTTTACTGTGTGGGTTTATGCTTACGTAATGTATTGCTAACTTTAATTTAATATAGGCTTTTCTTATTTAATGTACATTTTATTTATCTTTTTATGCTTATTGTTTATTGTTTAACTGTTTATTGTATTTGATTGTAGACTCACAGGTCTTATTTAATGTACATTTTATTTGATTATTTATTTTTATGTTTTTTGTATAAATGTTTATTGTATTTCTTTGTAAGCTCACAGGTTTGCCCTCTGGGATTTATGTAAGTCTGTTTCATACCGAAATTTATACCTAAATAAACGAATGAACGAAAACACAAATAAATAAATAAATAGATAAATAAATATATAAATAGATGAATAGATAAATAGATGAATGACACATGACATATACATTTCAAATTAGTCTACGTATCACCGTAAACACAATGTATACAAATTATAACTTATTACTAACAGTGCTCGAATAGAAAAATATAATGTTTTGATTACTATTGGATGTGTATTTCATTGCAAAGTTAAAACTATCATTATGCTTTATATACAGTCCAACTGTTTATTATACTTACAAGCAACAGATAAAGTTCCTTCCCCGCTGGCACTCGAACCCTCACCAGTGTTCCCCGTTCTCTGTGCAACACAAACGTACTTCCCTCGGTCTTCAACGATAATAGTCTTAATGATCAAAAGCGCTCTTCCTTTTTCTTCGTCTATCAGCGCTTCGTATTTAGGGTTAGCTTTGATGTAGTCATCATTGCTAGAGGCAATGGCAATCGTATAGCTGTGATCCCCTTTGTACCATGTGGTTGTTTTTATGTCACTATCTTTTGGAAACAATTCGCAGATGATGGTGGCAACACTACTACCCTCTTCTACCTTTACGTCACGAACGTGTGCCACCAGTTTTGCTTAAATTACAGAAAACACAATGTTCTGATACTAAATTTCATTAGGCCTACACATTATTTATGTGTCTGATTCTGTGTAATGCTATCATCATCCTAAATTTTGTTTCTTATGTGCGTGTAAACAAATAATTATTAATTGACAGGCTTGAGCAAAGTACGGAAAATGACATTGAAAACAGAACTTGAGACGCTCTCCGTTCATTTCGTCTTCACCCTCCCATTCCCGTAGTTTCGGCCTACATTAGATTTTGGTTGTAGCACGTGAAATTAAATGTTATAACATATTTGAAAACATACAAATAACAACTTCGGTTATTAATGAAAATGGAGAATAACAATTATGTGATTGTTATTTCTATTATTGATGTCTGAAGACAAATCCAATAATTTAATACATGTAAAATACATTGCTTTTCTGACTTCCTACTTCGCTTATAATATCATTCTGTATGTACGAATGGAACAGAAAATTTCAAAAAGTTTCAAAATTGGTTGCTAGGCCTACATGATATGATGATATACATATGAGAATTATGAAAATAATGAATTCGTATCTACTGTACAACTTTGTACTGACGATGAAAGGACTCACGTTTTACGAACAATGTCATCGTTTTTAGATGAGTTTCGTCGTTCTTCATCATAGCAGTACATTGATATACACCCGCATCGGATGGTATCAGATTTTTAATCGTCAGCTTGAAAGAGCCAACTTCTTCTAACGATACAGCGTACCTATCTCTACTATCTTTGAATGCAGAATAAAAGAAATATTAAAAACATGGTACCGGTATTTATTTACAAAATCTCACATAGGGCCTAGAGCATAAGCGCAGTCTCCTCAAAAATAATTCATATAATTATTAAAGGTTAGTTTGTTTTATTCATTTATCTATCTATCTGTCTGTCTGTTTATTTATTTCAGTATAAATGCATAAATTCAAAAACGGTAGCACAAGGCTAAAATTGTCTATATTACAAAAAATTGCACATTAAAATACTATGTAAGAATTACAAAAAAGTACAAAAAAGCAATTAATTTACTACTAGTGATTGCACATCGGAATAATATAACAATTACAAATAAAATACAATTACAAGAAATTGTATTGTGACTTGTTTTGGTACTTATGTTATAATCCCCAATTCGAAACAAATGAATGAATGAATGAACGAACGAACGAATAAATAAATTAATTAATGCATTTTGTTTTTATATGTTTTTGTCAAAGAAATAAATGAATATATGTATAAACGAGCAAACAAATTAAAGAATGAATGATCCATTTTGTTTGTATCCACGCTATATATATTATAATATATTTTTATCAGAAAGAAATGAATGAATATATGAATGAATTATATAGATAAATGAATGAAACACACACAAAGTAACAACTATATCTATAAATTCTAAACTGAAAACACGTAAATATTATTATTATTATTGGCTTTTCCCAGCAGTAGCTGAAAAGGCATTGTATTTTTTTTTTCTGATTTTTGTTTTCCTTTTTTCTTGAATACTTTTTTCCTATCTTTTTGCACTGGGTTTTTTGGCCGGCACTTCGGTCACTTCCCTTGCTTGGAACTTCCCATGCTTTGCCGAAGCATAGACCATATATCAAGGATGTGCCTCCTATATTGAGTTTCAATCTAGGGTGGGGTTTGCATGTGAGGACCAATTAAAGTGATTTAAGGGCAAACAGTCTACACCAGATATTTCACAAACGGGTCAACTGACCTGAATGAAACTTTCGGGAAAGTGTTGTTACTTGTGCGTTTAACTACTTTTTTTGTTGCATTTTCAACTTCATTTCTCATTATATCAATTAAAATAATTATCATTATTTTCATTAATATTATTAATATTTATTATTATTATTATTATTATTTGTTGATTAATTAATTTTTAAGTATTTAATTCCTGTCAATCATCAAACGCCACATCAACTCAACAGATCGATTGTGCCCGTATTAATGCGTGAGCCTCTCTACTTCTGTCATAATGCATGATGCAATATTGATAATCTCACCTATTTCCTTGCTTTTCTTCAAAGTATCTTCCTAGTAAAATAAGAAGGTATATATTATAACCTTAAAATATTTTTTTTACCCCCATAAGGTCTGGTTTTATCTCCTTATAAATTATTGTAAATTCAGGGGTATTTCAAAATCTTTAAAATATTAAATTGTTATTAATCAACCTTGAATGAGACAGATGAATTCAGTGTTCGTGAAATTATTGCACATTTCTCTGATGTATGGAAATATTTAAATTAATTGTATGAATGGTTATTAGAAATATAGGACAGATATTTAATTCTATACATTTGCTAATTGTTGGGAAAAATATGACCTGTTAATATTAATTAAAATATAATGACTTCAGTAAACAAGTACAAAAATAAAATACTATTTAAGTGTATCGAATATCTAAAGATAAATTCTAGACTTTATTCAGTACAACTACTTTATTCTAAAAAAAACAAAAAAAAAAAAACTGCAAAACTACACTTCAAATGGATATATTTGTTCTAGTTTATCATGAACTTACATCGTTTTGTGCAATGTAGTCGTAGCCATGTTTATTACTGACATCGACATCATCGGTACATTTGATTGCCTCAAATACCCAACAGTT